TCGGAGATACGAGATACTTTTTTCAGATTGTTTTGTTTTCGATGCCTAGTGCACATTGAGAAATGTGTCGAATAGAGTCCATTGGGTCCAAAGTTTTCGGACTCGATCAATCGAAAAATTTCAGACTCAAACCTGACTCGGTTCGTGTCAATGTTCAGGGTTAACTTAATGGGCTCTAACTACCAGATCGTTCCTGCTCAGGAGGCTGTCCCAATCCTATTCACCTCGCAGCGATATCATCTGCTTATTTTTATTTCACTTTCTGTCACAGAAAGGCATACGGAGATTCGAAATCTGGTTTGTATTCAAAGTTACCTCGAAGTCGTAGAAAAATTGTCAGAAAATCGAACATTTTGGAGGAAGCCTTTACATGCTCTCCTAATTAATCAAATCTTATTTTTTATTCATAAATCCAATGAAATTTCGCACAACAAGACTTCTCATCGATTACTTAATGTAATAGTAAATTGCACTTTATTGATTTTTTCTTTTAGTTTTTTATATATCATATAAAGTAAAATCTTATGTAAGTTTTTTTTCAATATAAAAAACACCCAAATGGAATATAATGGAAATAGTCAAACAATAATATATCATTTCAGAATGTTTATATTACTGTACTAAATAAATAAGTTGAAATATTTAATCAACACGACATTTTAAATTCTTATCACCATAAACATCATTTACTCGTCCACATGATGGCCAAAATTTATTATTGGGCGAAACAAAATCCTACGATAAAGTAAAACAAAAAAGATTTCATAAAAAAAAAAAAACTAAATTAATCAATTGACTTACAATTGGAAAAACAGCTTTTTGTAATGAATAAGGTAATAACCATTTTTCATGAAGAAAAACATGTTGGGAATGTGGAGCATTTTTTAATGGATTATTTTTTTTATCATATTCACCACTCTCAATTTGTGAAATTTCTTTTCGAATTTCTAAATAATAAAAACAAAAAAAAAAAGAAACATGTATTATCTCAATTAATCATGTTGTCTTTTTCTCTTTTCTAATTTACCAATTAATGCATCACAAAATCGATCTAATTCATCTTTATCCTCTGATTCAGTTGGTTCAATCATTAATGAACCTGTTACAGGCCATGATACAGTTGGTGCATGAAATCCATAATCTTGTAAACGTTTAGCAATATCAACTGCTTCAACATTAGCACGTTCTTTAAAACGACTAACATCAATTATAAATTCATGAGCAGCAAAACCTTGAAAAAGAATAAAATCATTTCATCTAGACTTTAAAAAAAAAATATCGGACAAACCATTTTTGCCAAGAAATAAGACTTTATATGAAGATTCAAGACGTTTAGCTATATAATTAGCATTAAGTATAGCTGTTTCTGTTGCACGACGAAGACCAGCAGCACCCATCATTCGAATATACATCCAAGGTATTGGTAAAATAGATGCTGAACCAAATGGAGCTGATGATACAGGACCATATGAATGTTTTGGATTATATTCAGAATTTTTATCCAATAATGGATGATTTGGTAGAAATGGTACAAGATGTTTTTTACTAAAATTTATTTATCTCATAGATATGAATAAAAATAAAAATGATTTTATTCAAAAGAATTCTCTCGCGAGTATTTAAATCAAAAAATAAGATTATATTGCTTATCAAACAATTGATTTTCTTTACTGATATGATGACTGTTAGAATGATTAACATACAAAACACGAAGTCAATCTCAGAATTAAGTCAAATTTTGAGCATTACTCAGTCAGCAAGAGCAGATCTCATTTGTACTTACTCGTACTTATACAGTAAAGTCTATATGTTTAAGCTATTTGATCATTAATGAACTGTTTTATTATACTTATTAAATCGAATGTTGTTATTTTCGAACCTGGAAATTTTATTAATTATTTAAAATAGATAAATACTATTTTGTGAGTGAAACGAAATTAATCGATATGATTAATGTTAAGACCTTTTGTATTACTTCTGATCAGAAAATCTCGACAAGTGATAATTCTCTTTTGAAATGAATCATATTTCATTATGTAAGCTCTATTCAAATTAGGAACAGCTTAAAAAGATTGGTTCTCATGGATCTTTTTTCTTGAATGACGACCATTCTAGTGAGTTTTTTTTTTCAATAGAATACCATGTTTGTTCTCTTACAAAAATCGAGTTTATCTGAACGTACGAGAAAAATCTCAGATCAAAATATAGTTATTTAATTTCATGGTAAGTATCTAAAACTTGATTGAAAATTGAGTAAAACAGTCATAACTCAGTTCTAGAATCGTATGAGCACAAGTCATTTTAGAACTATTCTAGTATTGTTGAAATTCTTTCTATGAACTCAATATATAAGCTAAAATGATGGGTATCAATTCTGATAGTTTCCTTGTCAGGAAAAGAATAACATTCTATTGAAAAACTAATTAGAGTGATTCGAATATTTAACTAAAAAAAAATTTCGTCTATATTTTAAACAAACTTACACTCCAATAGGACCTAAAAGAAATATTAAAATCAATTTAATAAAATTAAATTAAAAAAATTAAAAATATACCCATTCCTGGACCACCACCACCATGTGGAATACAAAATGTTTTATGTAAATTTAAATGTGATACATCAGAACCATAATCTCCTGGACGACATAAACCTACTTGTGCATTCATGTTTGCACCATCAAGATAAATTTGTCCACCATAATGATGAACAATTTCACATAATTCTCTATTAAATTTAAAATAAAACTTTTCATATAAGAATATTATTTATTCATTTTGTTTTCTACCTAACTGTTTCTTCAAAAACTCCACTTGTACTTGGATATGTAACAATTCCACAAGCAAGTGTATCTTTAAATTTTTCGGCTAATTGTTTTAAATGTTTCATATCAACAGCACCTCTTTTATCCAATTGAATTTTTTCAATTTTCATTCCAGCCATTGCTTTAAAATAAGAAAATAAATTTTTCTAGTTCGAAAAAGAAAAAATTCTTACTAGCTGATGCAAAATTCGTTCCATGAGCAGAAATCGGAACAAGACAAACCTTGAAGAAAAAACAAGATTTTATTCAAAAACAATTTATTAATCTTTTCTTACTCGTCTTTGTGGTTCACCTTGATGTTCATGATAAGCTCGTATAACTCGTAAACCAGCATATTCACCTTGAGCACCACTATAGCATATCATTAAAAAAAATAAATAATATAAACTTGCTCACTTTCCTTAGTGAATGTACTGAGTTCAAGATAACTTGCTACCAGAATGTTCGCAGGAATCTTTGCGTACTTCAAGTAACTTGTTCAAAGATTTTTTGTAGGACGTATGGGTAAGAAAGTACCCGAAAAGTAGAGCCCATCGGGTCTGGATGTGAAAAATTTTGGACTTGACGAACTCTACTGAAGAAGTAGCCTGCTGATAACTAATTGAACGTACAGATATGTTGAGCATCTGAGGGAGCCATTCCAGGGGTCAAATCACTTTTTCACTGAGATAGTGTTCATCTGATGAGCGCTAGAGAGCAATAGAAAAGTCTTCTGGGCCTTTGTTCTCGAGATATTAAAATTTTACTGTTTTTTTTTCAACAAAAAGCTGTGATCTCCCTCAGATCTTGTAAAAAATCGACTGTCGAACTTTGCACGAATAAAGTTCTTAATGAAATTAGTTCATTGTGCAAGTTGTAACTTTTCTAGTATTTTCTATCTTGAAATATTCAACATGTGCGCTTCACTGGTGTGTAAAAGAAATTTTGTTTTTCTATATTTACACTTTCCGAAAGATAATACGAGCTACACAATCAACTAATTTCTCTTTTTAACTAATCAAATAAATATTGTTTCGGTCGAAAATCGATTTGACATCTGTAGAGACTCCCTCGTTACTACACTCACTAAAGTTTTCATATTTTATTTTTTTACCTATTTGGTTGAAATGATATTTTATCATAACCAGTTATTTCACATAAAAATTGATCAAGATCTTTTAATAATCTAGCATAACCCTTCCATTGATTAGATGGAGCAAATGGATGAATTCGATTAAAATGAGCCCATGAACAAGGCTAGAAAAAGAAGAGGTAAAAATCGGTAAAATCATTTTTTTTTTTTTCTTCTTCTTCTTATTTTAGTACTATTAATTCAGCAGCAGCATTAAGTTTCATTGTACATGAACCAAGTGGGATCATTGAATGTACAAGTGATAGATCTTTATTTTCTAATTGTTTCATATAACGCATTAATTTTGTTTCTGATCGATATCTATAATAACAATATTAATATTATAATAATATTTATAAAAAAACAAATAATCTTGTTTTACTTATTAAATATTTCAGCATTAAGAAAACGACTTTGACGAGTTAAATTTCCAAAATCACGAGGATTTATTTTTGCTTCATTCTAAAATATAATAATTTTCTTTGTTAAGAAAATGATTTTAAAAATTATTCTTACAGATAATTTATCTTCAACATTAAATATCCATTTAAGATCAGCAACATCACTTTCATTCATTGTTTCATCTAATGAAATGCCAATCTATGATTTGAAAACAAAAACAACAACAAAATCATAAATTTTTTTAATTTATTATAATCAAAACTTACACTTCCATTATCATAATAACGTAAATTAATACGTTTTTCTTTTGCACGTTGTTTTATTTCATCAATACTCATAGTTGGTTTAATTTTTAATGTATCAAAAAAAATTTCATTTTTTATAGAATTTCCACCAGCTTTTAAGCCTTAAAATTATTTTAATTAAATATTCATTCAATTAAAACAAAACATATTTTTTTTTAAATTATACTTTCAGCAAGATCACATGTTAATATATGAATTTTTATTGCAATATTTCGAAGACCTTGTCTACCATGATATAAACAATACATGGCAACCATATTTGCAAGTAATGCTTGTGCTAAAAGAAAATATTCGAATGAAACTTTGTTTTGAATTCAGTAAAAATTAATTCAACATTTTCAGTATTTTATCCATAAGTAGGATCCGGCAAGATTAGCAGAAATCTATAAGAGTTCGTTCCCATGCGCTCTTAGAACCATGAGGTCTACTGATAAGTCAAATTTCAGGTTGAAATTTTCTAATTCGATTTTTTCACACATACGTTGCCAAAGATAAAAAAAATTTTAGTAAAATTGTAATAGCTTGGGAAGGGCAACACGTGAGAAACAACTTCTATAAGCTTCTACTAGTCTTACTGAAGCGTATTAATGGACAAAATATCAGTTTGATTGGCAAATCATACTTGAGAACCTTTCCTTGTTACATAAATTTTTATTTCAGAAAAAAAACTTTATGAAAGGAATAATCAGATTTGGGTTGGAATGACTTAAAAGATCAATTGGAAAGTTTTCGCTAAAACTTAAGCATGTTTTTCGGAATTTATGTGCCAAAATAGAAAATAAAATGCTGAAGAAAAACAAAGAAGTCACCAACTGAACACGTTCTAGAGGATAACAACAAAAAGTAGATTTGGAACAATGAAAAACAGTTTCATTGTTGACAACACAATTATCCGAGCTGATACTCGTCATTCTGAGTTCACAAGGAGATTTTGGTTAGACTAAAATAAAATTCTAAAAGGGTTCGTGTCTATCAGCCTCTGGAACTAAGTTATGATCGTTCCACTGAATTCTCGATCAAGCTTTAAGTGTTTATCAAAAAATCCAAATAACGGAATCTCGGTCTAAAATTTCGCTCATAAACACATCAAATGAATAGTAAAATGCCGTGTAAGATTTAGTCGAAAAAGAATGTTCCTTTGTCAAGATATTGAATTTCTCATTCGATGGAACCTTTCAGAATTACTCCAGTGTTATCAAACTTTTCTAATGTTATCAGGACTCCCTAGAGGATACAATATGAACTCAAATGGCGGACATTAGTTCAGATAGTTATCTCATCAGCAATGAAACACTTCAAGGTCATATAAGTACTATTGATATATCATCTGCGTCAAAACAAAAGGTTACGACTTTTCACAATGCCAAACTATATGAAACATGATATTCTTTACGAGTAATGTAATGATTATTTTGGATTCTCAAGTTTATCATATAAGGATTCAATAGATCGCCTATATTTTTTTGCTTTGAAAACAAAGAAAAAAAAAACTTTTTTTCTTTCATACCAGTACAAATATTGCTTGTTGCTCTTTCTTGTCGAATATGTTGTTCACGTGTTTGAAGAGCTAAACGATAAGCTTTTGCTCCATGTGAATCACTAATATAATTAAAAACTAATATAAATATTTTTTTTTCTATTTGAAAAATAATTTCTTTTACATGGTTAAACCAACCAATCGACCAGGCATATCACGTTTAAATTGTTCTGCACAAGAAAAAAAAGCAGCATGTGGACCACCAAAACCAAGTGGAACACCTAATCGTTGAGAATTTCCATAACAAATATCAACGTTCATTTCACCGGGAGGTTTTAAAAGACAAAGAGCCAAAAGATCCGAACCACAAATAACCATAGTCTAATATATACACATATATATTTTTAAATAAATCAAACTTTTTTATGAAATGTAAAATATAGTCATACTCCATGTTCCTTTGCACGAGCTATTAAACCTGCCGGATCAATAATATTTCCAGTTGTATCAGGATATTGAAATATAACTCCAGCTACATCTTTTTTTGAAAAATCCATTTTCTCAATCGGTAATACTTCAATTTCAGTACGAAATCCACTATATACAAAAAAAGAAAAAAATTATTTTCCTTTATTCAACTTAATAATTTTGATTTTACTGTGCTCGTGTTCGAGCTACTTCAATAACATGTGGATGAAGTTGATCACTAAGAAACATTCGTGGTCGTTTACTATGTCTAAAACACATTGCTATTGCTTCACCGGCTGCTGTTCCTTCATCTAACAAACTAGCATTAGCATATGGAAGTCCAGTTATATCACTGACAGCTAAAAAAAAACAATACAATAAAATTTTTAATCTAATTAATTTGTTACCAGTTTGATAATTTAGTAAACTTTCTAAACGTCCTTGTGATAGTTCAGCTTGATAAGGTGTATATTGTGTATACCATCCAGGATTTTCAAAAAGATTTCGTTGAATAACTGTCGGAATTATACAATCATTATAACCAAGACCAACATATGATCGCCATACTTCATTTTGCATAGCGATTTCTTCTATTTCTTTTAAAGCACGATGTTCAGCTTTTGAAGAAAAAAAAAAAATATGAAGTTTTAAAAAAGAAAATAATCTTTTAATTTTTACTTACAAAGTGCTTCTGGAATATTCATTGTACCACGAAACTTGATAGCTGATGGCACTGTTTTATCAATAAGTTCATCAAGAGTTTTTAAGCCAAGTGTATTAAGCATATCTTTTGTTTGTCGTTCATTTGGACCAAGATGACGACGTACAAAATCATATGCTGGATTTGAATCAGCACCGTGTGCTTCAGATTGATCATGAAGAGTTCGTCTACATTGTTCAAAAGCAATCATACGAACATGATATGGACGTATCGAACGTCGCGCTAATAAAAAAAACAACAATTTTTTCATCTATTAATGCAAATATCTTTTGTACTCGATTGGCTACATTCTAGACTACATAAACTCTACATCTCAGATAGTAGTGATGACTCATCGACGCGACTAAAATAGTAACAAGAAAAAATTCTTTATTTACCACATAATGACAGTAATGCAGATGAAGCCATTGTCTTGATAATTCAAACGAAAATGTTTGCTTCAACAAAAATAAATCAACGTGTGATTTCCACTATCTATTGCTGTGTAAGTGGAGCATTTTGTCGTGCTTGTTGTTGTTATTTGTACGTTTAGCGTTTTTCTCTTTCTTTCTATAGCTTAACATTGGTCGTGTCTATTTACTTCATTTTTTTCTTTCTCTATCAGTCGCGTGAATGACCTTGTTTTTTAATTTTCGTCTTTGATTTTTTTTTATTTTGTACTCAGTTTTATCGGTATTAAAATTGTGTACGGGCATCTTCAATAATAAACGAGAAAACAATTTTTTGTTATTGTTATCAACAGACATACCTTGTCAAAGGTGATATGTTGATAAATTGTGATAACAAAAAAAAAATAATAATAAATTTATCTTTAATTTTTTTGTTTATCTAAAATCTTTAATTAATTATTAATTATTTTTTATTCGAATTAGATGATGTAAAATAATAGTAATAATAATAAAAAATGGAAACGAGTATAACATATACACTTGAAGAATGTATTGATCATATTGGTTTAGGAAAATATCAATGGCGTCTGATTAGTATATTAGGATTTTGTTCAATGGCTGATGCTGTGGAAATGATGCTTTTGGCTATTTTAGGGCCAGCAATTACTTGTTATTGGCCTGATGTGACAAAAATTCAAATGGCTGCATTAACTACTGTAAATATTTCTCTCTCTATATATACATATATATTATTTAATGAAATTATTATCTAATTATAGGGTGTTTTTGCTGGTATGATGCTTGGAGCATTTATATTTGGTATTATAGCTGATAAATATGGACGAAGACGAGTAATTGTTATAAGTGCAGTATTAAATACTTTATTTGGAATTTTTACAGCCATTGCACCGAATTATTATTTCGTATTACTTTCAAGAATTCTTGTTGGATTTGCCCTATCAGGAGCTGCTCAAGGGTAAGCAATGATAGATATGTTAGTTTTATTTTAAAGTATAGATTAACTCAATAGTAGTCATTCATATAATGAAGATCTTATTTCATTCAACTCTTCTCAGGTCTCAATAGAAAAACTTCTATTAGTAAAAGAATCGAAACATAATAACAGAAATTCAAGAATTTTGTATTTTTATTCAATGATTAAAATACACATGCGACAAAAATTATTCGTAGAATTTCTTTTTTCATTAAAGATAATGAAAACATAGATTTTTTAAGATTTGACCAGTATCAAAATAATCAACATATATCGTCTAGTATTTACATTATAAAAGCAAACTTTATTGATTGAGTCTTTATTGAAAACGAAATTAAGATTTGAAAATTATGTATGTTGCTGTGGTAAAAAATGTTTAAGAGCCTACTTCAATGACAATACTCTATAGAATTCTAATGAAAACTCTAAAAGACTTTCAATTCCTATTGACATTGAACTAAGCTATCGAATTTTTTTTCTAGAGGTTTCAAATTTTCGGAAAACTTGTACTTTAGAATATCGACCTGAAACTTTGCGCATATGGAGAATTCAGCTAAACAAGCTTCTAGAAAAAAAATTCGAAAGCTTAGTCAAATTCTTGTAGAGTTTTTATTAGAACACAATGTGATACTTATAGACAAAAAACTATTGAAATCAAAAGGAAGCAACTGAAGAGAGTCCCTCTTTAGTGAACTAATGCCCGCGCCAGAATTAAGAAGCAATGATTGTTATCTCAATAATTTGAAAATGACAACAGCTGGTAAACTGCAGTTTTCAGCAGTCAAAAGAAAAGACTTTCGGACGTCTTTTTATCTGATACTATGTAAAACAAAACTATTTTAAAAATCATCATCTTTGCAAAATATTCAAAAAAAAAAACCGCATAAATATGGTGTTCGGTTTCAGTATAGTTTTGGTTTTGACAGGTACTTCAGATCTATAGTTTAAGGCATGATAGAGATACTTATCTTCTCATATCTCGATGCTAAGCAAACAAAATCGTGTATCTATTCAGTCAAATTTTCTAACTTTTTATCAATGTTTCGTTGAAAGAGAACATCATTGAATGTTTTTATGAAAATAATGAATTTTAAAATAATTTTGTCTTACATAGTATTAAATAAAAAGACATCCGAAGTTTTTCTTCTTGAATTTGTAAAAAGCGCCGACTTCTAGCTGTTGCCATTATAGATTTATTTAGCTTACATTTATCGCTCTTTAATTATAACTCGGATATTGGATTCTTTGTAATAACACATCCAATTGAATCCGAAATCTGTTCAATACGAAGAAAATAATATGTACATATCATTTGTTCTTTTTTTTTGTATATAGAAAGTTTTTAATCAAATTGAATTCAATAGAGATTATTTTTAAAAATTAATAGATTTATTTTCGTACTCAATCTATAGAGATAAATAATTCGTTTTTCACTATTTGAATAATAATGACTTATCGTGTGACTTTTTTTTTTTAGGTCAACATTAATGCTCGAATATTTACCATCATCTACTCGTGCAACAATTATTATTGTTATTGAATTATTTTGGTCATTAGGCAGTATTTTTGAATATGTTTTGGGTATGATTATAGTTCCATTATATGGATGGCGTTTATTAACAGTTCTTTCTGCTTTACCAATAACAATTGTCGCTATTTTTATGTATGTGAGTATTGAATTAATTTTTTCCTTATTTAAAAAAAAAAATAAATTTTATTCTTGTTTTCTTTTCTTAAGTTCGTACCTGAATCACCACGTTATTTTGTTGCTAGTGGTCGTCCTGAAAAAGCTGAACGTGTTTTAAAAATAATAGCATCAACAAATCAACGTCCTTTACCAGAAGGAAAACTTCACGATGTTCATGCTCAAGTTAGTTTAACAAAAAAAAAAAAAAAAAAAAAAAAAAAAAAAGTTTTTTTTTATTTTTGTATTCTAAATAATTAGGATGAATGTGGTTCAATCAAACATTTATTTCATATAAATTATAAACGTACATCATTTCTACTTGCATTTATGTGGATGACCGTAGCTATGAGTTATTATGGTTTAATTTTAATCAATACATCTATAATGACATTATTTGATAATGAACATGAATCAATAACAAATACAAGTACAATTAAACCATCTCAATGTAAAATGTTAACAACAAAAGATTATCAATCATTAATATTTACAACATTTGGTGAAATGTTTGGTATACCATTATTATTATTTTTACTTGCATATTTTGGTCGTCGAATGGTTTGTGCTATCAATTTTTCATGTGCATCATTTTGTTTTTTATTATTTCTATTTATTTCTCAAACAAAACCATGGATAATTAATATAATTACATTTTTAGCACGAATGTTTATTAGTTCACAATTTAGTTTAATGTATCTTTATACAATGGAAGCTTATCCAACAGTTATACGTGCTATTGCTGTTGGATGTGCATCATCAATGTCAAGAATTGGTGCTATGATAACACCATTTCTAGCACAAGTTTTAATTAAACAAACGTTTCATGGAACTATTGTAATTTATATGATAACAACAATCATAGCAGCTATTTGTGCAGTGTTATTACCAATAGAAACAAGAGGACGTGAACTAAGAGTAAGACGTTTTTTTTTTTTGTAGTGAATTAAAAGGATACTCTTTTCATGAAAAAAATATAGAAAGATTTGGAGACAAAACCAGAGATTTAGCTTTTAAAATCCTATAAATTCGGATTCGAAGGTCAAAAACAAAAACGACGAGCTCCACATCTGAAGAAGATTTCTAAGTATCTAGGGTAAGAACTTCAGTCGAATTAAACAAAGTTTGATGGAATCATAATGTCCAGGCTGCAGTCACATGAAAAACCAGGATTTTCCAGAAATTTCTCTGTGAAACTATTTTTCTCAAATACATACCTCTTTATTTTAGATGCTCTATTACATAATAACACTTTCAGTCTGATAGGTTGTAGCCTCGTCGAAAACCAGAAGTAGTCGAAAAAGAGGTGGAAGTATTCTTAAATTTGTTAGAGAGAGAGAGAACATTCATTTACTTTGAAGAACATAACTTCATTTGTCTTCACACAATCAACTCAACAGCGTCTTAGTCTTAAAAAAACATCTGTTTTGGGTATTCTAGTAACTTTCTGTGTATCCGTGATGCTATATTTGGGTTTTTCTTTCTTATCCTAAAAATGAATGATTTTGTTAAAGAATACAAAAGACTATTGTTTTATATTTCTTTTTAGCAAGCCACGTCAGATCAACCTAGTTCATCAACAATACCTGTTGATGATACTGTATCTTCTTGGATAGCAGCTGTTGATAATATAGCATCGCTAGTGCATGCAAATGATGATATTGTCAATAAAGGATATCAACCGTTAACACAGGAAGATATTAGTGATGAAGAAACATTATAAAAATCAAATTATTGTTATTTTTGTGTTTTGTTCAACATTATTTTTATTTTCTTAGCTTTTTAAAAGTTCATGTTTTTGTTTTCTGGCGACGTATAAATAAATGAAGTCGTTATTTCATAGAACTTATTCTTCGAAAATTAGACAATTGAATAGATGTGAATACTTACTCTACTAAAAAAATCTCTACAAAAGAGATTTTTTTTTTTTGAATTATTAATAATTAACAGGGAAACATTACCATGTTAGATGCGTCGTTTAGAATCAGATATATGCCAGTTTGTAGAGTTCGATAAAACTTGGAATTTTAACTTACAATATCGTCCATAAATAGCAATCATAGTAGCTTGAATTTTCTAAAAAATATCAGCCTTAATAAACGCTTCCATTTTGAGATATTGAATATCTACACGACGATCATATGTCATATGAAAATATTACAAAGACAAGCCCCTTCAATATTCCTTATCTCAAGAAGACAAAATTCTTTTGAATTGAGTGTTTTATGACATTCCAACGACCATGAAAATTATTTATAAAAGAAATTGTAGGTCAAAATTTCGTAACACGACTTTTTCGTGTCTAGCTTAAGAGAAACCGAAAATCTGGTAAAATGGTCATAAATCGAGAACAATAGAATATGTAGACGAACTCTTTCAGGCTTCTTCTAATCTCAGCGAACTCTATAAACTACAATGTATTCAATTTTAAAACGGTGCGTTCCACTTGGAAACTTTTTCTCGTAAGAGATTCTTCATGAATGTTGTGGTTTGGTATCAATCCACTTCGTCGAGACAAACAGTTTGGACTTTCTGCATAGTTCGACTAAAGAAAGTTAGTCTGAACTGTCTCTAATCAATCAGAAAAGTGAAATTAAAGCGCGAACTCGAATTCATCTTACAAAATAAAAAATCTCGAAATTTTGGTATTTTAGTGGCAATCTCTTCTTAAAAACTTCAACATCGTAATTGCTTCATGTCCTCGATGTAAATGGTTTAAAATTTGAGATTGTTGAGAACGTTTTCAATTATATCTTTGAAGCTTAAGACAAGCGTTATCTTACCGAACAACATATAACACGTGGTACATAATAAATAGGAAAAATATTTTTTTCTTTTTAGGGCGCTACTGAACACATTAGAGACTTAATTTCAGGCTCATTCGATAGAGAATTTCCTACTCTACAGGAGAATTATTTTTGTTTTTCAAATATCTGTTTTTTTATTATATCTGTACGAAATCCATCAGTCACTTTCCGTCAATACAAAAAAATTCCTCTTCACTCAACATTACACAAATCACAATTTTCGTCTCGATTCTTGTTAGATACTTTTCTGCCAAAAAAATACTTAATTAGCAAGGCAAAACTTCTTTCATCTTGAAAGAATTTCCTATTTCTTCAACACAAGCTCGAATTTTTATTTTTATCCTAGAAAAGGATAATGTCTTCAATACTCTGAAAAAGATTCTTGTGCTTTATTCTTGAGCATATCAAAATGAATTATTAATATAATAATGAAAAGAATAATAATAATAATAAAGCAAAAAGAAGCATAAATTCATAGACAATTTGATAAAATTTTCATTTAGTAGGTTATAAAAAAAAAAAACTTTAAATAATCATTGATTTAAATTTTAACTTGTCTTGTTTGTGTAGCTTGTCAATGGTAAAATGTTCATTTGAGAAATGAATAATAAAAGTATCTGTAAGCAATTTTATTTATATATTTATATGTAAGAAACAAACATGACTCTCTGACTTTCATTTTTAGAAAATGTCTTTTTGTCCTTTAATTAAATGATAGAAAAATTCTTGTCTGAATTTCATCATCAAAACAAAAAATTTCGATTCATAAACCAAAAAAAAAGAGGAAGATCTGAAAACAATCGAGGCAATCATGTTGACTTGTGTAGTTTAAAACATTGGTGATTTTAGTAAAAGAATTTCTTTTTCCAAGAAAATAATGAATAGTAATTGCGCCATATCAACCAAACATAAATATATAGTATTAAACAAGTGTCAGTCGATTGATGGCCAATGCTATTCACTTACTTCGTAGTACAATGGTTGTATCTTAGTCTGTCCCACTAAAAGTTCAGGTTCAATCCCTGACGAAATTATGAGCGAACGCGCGACCCATCAAGAATTTTTTTTCTTCTTTCTACCGTTATTTCAAAACATCTTTCATCACATAAATGTGAACAAAAAATATAAAACAACGTATTTAATAAAATATACATTAAAGGCATAATGTATACGTACGTATATAAGAAAACAAGATAAACATAGGTTAATAAGTCATTTGGAAACAATATATTCAAATAGAAAATCCTGAAGATGTCATCAAACTGTGTCTTGGTGATCGTTTGAAATTCATGTTACTACATAGTCATTGAATTCTCTAAATACTCATGTCGCGCAAATTGCTCGCGAATTGTCAGTTAAACGTGGTTCAACTGCTTGATTATTTTTTATATCTCATTGAATGAAAGTTTTAAAACTCTCTAGATCGAATATAATGACTCGAAAGCGGCTACTGTTTCGATGATTGTTTACGTCTCAGCAGGAATGATCGTTGTTCTTACTGTCGCCGTTACCTTGTTTTCAAGTCACTTGAATATGAAATCAAAAAAGTATCTCATAAACATCATTGGATTTTTCTGATGATGTTTAGTAGATAAATCTTAATGACCTCATTTACCATTCTTGAGCGAACCAATTTCTAATGTTTCATACAAGTATTTTACTGAGATGAAACTGTACTTTATTCAGTTTTTTTTTTTGTTAATATCAGGCTCCAATCGGCTATTTTGAGCTAGCTTAAGCATCGATGGATAAATTTTCTTCATATAGAAATGCTGCGCTTCGCATCGCATCAACAACACTTCGTAAACGTTTAGAAACAACAAAAATAGACTGTAGTGAGCTACTTTCTACAAAAATAAATTCTTGAAATTACATTTTTCTTTATTAATGAACTACTTTATTTAAAAATATGTTTAATGGCACTTCCACGTATACTATATATGATTATTGCATGTAGTATGTGCATCCCTTTTTCATACATCTTCTTTGGACATAGCTTGTGATGGTACATGTGTATTCAGGAATGCTATGTATGTCATTAAATACTTCTTATAATAGAAGAAAGGATAAGCGGAATACTACCTAGGTTGTAATTCGAGCAGTGAGACTCAGCTGTATACGGTAAACAGATTATGTAAATACGACAATATACAATAAAAATACAGTTATAATATTGCACATTAGTTTTTAATGGAAACGACTGTAAATGGTGAAAGACGAAGATCGTTTTTTATCGTCTATGGCAGTAATCAGACCACTTCTCCACCATTTTCGGGACTTTAAAACGTCGTTTCGGACATTCGGGATGACTAATCTGAATCTTAGAAAGATTCTAGACTTCAGTCAAAACTGTACTTCTTTTCATTTTGAGAGCACTCCAGCTGCTTGTACTAGCCATATCGGCTATTTTCATTTGGCTTTCGAGATTGAATCTTTATGAAAGATGATGCGCCTTAAAAATAGTCACAAGTTAGAAGACTTAACCGGAAGGAAAAACAACAGACTTCAATATTGAAGTTTTTGCTGTTTTCTCCTCGACATAATCAAAGTGTGTCGCCATCTGAAAAGATATATTGTAACTGATAAAAATCGACTCGTTTAAGTGGCAATCGATCTTTTCAAAGCAGAAAATATTAATTTAATAGAAAAAATATAAGTAACATGATAGAAAAAAGAATAAATCGTTCGAACCATCGTTTTTGATGACCCATTGAGACAATATATAGTCTTTCCTGTAAAAGGAAATATTCATTGAAATAATATTTTCACTTGATAGTTTATTTCATAATCAGCTATATATGTGAAACATTTCATCTTACTCGATCATATATTTATGGATAAGAATGGTACAACAAAATACATGTGAATTTCATTATAAAATAATATTATTATTAAGATATATAAAATCTACACTAGAATAAGCAAAAAACAAAGAAAACGAAGCTATACATGCATAACGAATAGAAGTAATCAAAGTTGTCTATTTTCTCGAAAAAAAAAATTTATATCTTCCAAAAACAAGTATCAATTATTGCCACAATTTGAAAGAAAAAACAGCATTAGATAATTGACTAGGAAAATGTTTAGATCACACATCGAAAGTGATGATCTCAGCGTGTAGTGTAGCATGGAAGCGGAAGAAACAACGACGCACCAAAGATTCGACTACCTCTCCCAGAGTTTTACATCGCACTGCTCGAAAATAAAATGTCGATAAAATATTCAATAATCCCATTGGATGCTATCAAATAGACATAGTAATAATAAGAAAAAATCATTTGTCTTGCGATATGAGGTGTTGCATACTAGCAGATTCAACATCTTCTCTACGACTAGTCCTAGCTGCAACTCTGGACAAAGATCAGCCTGACGCAGAGTTCTTGCGCACAATTGCTTCAATTCCCTCAAGAATAGCCATTAGTAATTTGTCTAGGACCATTCTATGGCTCCTGGTACTGAAGTTTGAGCATACGTGCCGAATGGCGCAGCCACTCACGAGAAAACCCATGTGACTGATTATCTCAGTTTGAGTTTATTGATAGGACTCATAATATAGATGAAAATCCTGAAAGGACTCGTACCATCAGACCTCTTTTCTCGAATTATGATCATTCTACTGAACTTTCAGTCTATTGTAGGATATTACGATAAAAATTGTAACAAGAAGTTTTGGTCTGTAATTCTTCTCAACAATAGCTATCATGGTCCTTATAATATTGTGAAAGTTTCACTTGCAAAGGTGTTATCTCAGAAGGAAGACATCCGTCTAAGCTGTAACTTTCATAAGAACCATAACTAGAGAAGAGAGACTGGATGGCACAAATGCTTTCAAGATTTTTAAATACATTATAAAATCCACGTATAAGCTCAAACCAAGATTAACAGTCCTATGGGTTCCCTTATCAGCTATGATGACTTTACAGTAAGAAATGTATATTCTTACTATGGAATTCTGAGAAATCAATCCAGTTTAAAGTGTTTACTAATGCATAGGAGCCTATCGATTAATTCAACTATTGATTCAAAAGAGATTTAATACTATAAAAGACTAGCTTATGAATTGTAATCGATCAATCTGAACATCTCATTTTAGTCTACCGAAGTAAAACAATAAAAAATTCTGATCGAAAATTTTCTAAGTTTTTAAATATAGAATAATATCCCTTCCACAAAGAACCGGCATGTCGTGTTTCATCAAAAGAAAAAAAAAAAGAAAATCCTTTACAATATTATACAAAAGAGAAAAAAAATCACATTTATAATGTCGCTTGATTATTATTATTTTCAACAAGATTTATATTTGTTTGTTGTGAAGATACAGATTTATCCGTATTATTACTATTTGAATCATTTGTTGTTTGTGTTTGTTGTTGTGTTGTTATCCATGTTAAACGTTCTTCATAAAATCTTATAACAACTTGTGGACATTTTATGTTACATATTCGAGCTGGTACAAGATCCGCTTCAGCTGTACCTTTCCATTGAACTAATAACATTAATTCACCCTTAACAAAGTAAAAAAAAAAGGAATTTATAACGATATTTATCATTTTATTTGTCTTACTGTTGCATCCGTTGCTCCAAGTATTTTTTCTGGTTCTAATCCTCGATCAAATGCAGATGCTTCTTCTGTACGTATTGATGAAGTTTGTTGTTTTGAATAATTTCGATGACTTAAGGAATCATTTGATGGACGACCACGTTTATTTTGTACTGGTGCTTGATCCAATGATGATTTACGTTTAAGTGATGTTGATGGTTCATGCGTATAACGAGAACTTTGCAATAGACGATTTTCATAGTCTTCAATTAAATCTGGACAATCTAAATTTTGTTGAGGTTCCTATAAAAGAAAATAACTTTCAATAATAATATTATTTAAAAAAAAATTTTTCATACCCAAGTATTTTCTTCTTCAGGATAACCCTTCCATGCAAGTAAATATTCTTTTCGTCCATTACGAAATCGATGACTAACAATACGTTCAACAATAAATTCTTCACCTTCATCTGCTCTAACAATTTGTTGTTTATCAGTTCCACTATTGTTCATTGTACTACCGATCATACGTTTTTTAAGAATATCGATTAAACAAATAAGTACGCAAAAAAAATCTAAAACAAAAAAAAAACACCTTGATATTTTTGTTAGTGAACATATAATCGAGCCAATCACATATAAAAAAATGTAATGAAATACAAATGATCGCGATCAAAGAACAAACACAAAGAAAAAAGAAAAAAAAGCAAATGAAGACAACTCGTTATTATACTGCATTAAAATTAAACCAATTAAGGACAAGGCTTATTCAATATATAGGATTTCGATGAATTAATAAATAAGTTTCATTTTTTTTTAATAGTAAAAAAGCTATGTAAGAATCATTGTTTACTTAATAAAAAATATTTCGTTAAAATATAGATGTCGTACATTGCATGCTCAATTTGAGTGAATATGCTCATGATAAATTGTGAGTAAATCTATATACATATATATTAGGAATCTTCATCTAAGATCGACTAGAAATATGTATGTACGGGTTAGCGAACGATTATTATTGGTTCGAACGTTTATGAATGATGATTTGTAATCATTGGAAAATTACATATAGATATGCAAAAGCAATGGAAAAACCATTAATAATATACAATATCGGCAAGATCTTTTTTGATATGCTAGAAAAATATCCAATAGGATACAATGAACATTTAATGTGTTTACGCATCTATTCAACATGATTAGGCATAAGAGGTCGACTTAAAATCTAAAACGATAAGTTACTCTCAAATTCTTTAATCAACAATATTCAATATGAATCATCGATAGTTTTTTTATATTCTTCTTAACGCTTGTAATTTAATCCTTTCTTTGGTTTTTTTCGAGGTGTCAGATATTGATATTGAATCGTTCGTCGTTCTTCATAAACCACATCAGTTGAATATGTTCTTTAATAGCGTTGCGACCTTGATTCATGTTTTCGTAAGTGTATCATCAATAAGTAATAAATTTCATTTGTTTTTTTCTGCTTTCAAACTATACTTAATAAGATGAGAACAACACGAAAGATGTTTAGTTGATTGATTTTACAACCATTAGTTTTTGAGTATAGATAAATTTGAATAAATTCAGAAAAAATATGCTTTTAAGTTGGTGACGTTATTATAGTCGAACGAAGTTTACCTGGAGAGAGAATAAAAGAAAAAATAATTATAGTAACGAAAATTGAGGTTTTTTTTCTTCTTGTATATTACACGAACAAGTAAAATGACATTTTTTTTTTATCATATGAAAATCAAAAACTTTCAAGATTTTACAGATTGCCAGCATGTTTGACGATGCATTTTTTTTTGTAACTGTCATATACATATGTGAAGAAAAAATCTGTTGTATTTCCCACAGTTAAATGAAAAAAAAAAGAATGTCCTTGAAGCAATTGGTATTATTTTTTGTTGGAGAACGGGCTGTACCACACCCTCTATAATGACCCTTTTATCACTTCGTTTTTGGTTTCTTTATATGTTTGACGACGTTATTTTTTTTCCTTCTATACATTTTGAGAAGAGAGAAAAATAAAGATCAGAAGACCCATTAATATGTAGAAAATATCGACATGAAGGCAATCGATGACGTAGTGTAAGGAAGAACGCTTATTTGTTTTCTCTTTTTTCTTCATCACGGCAAGTATTTTCGATGTATGTCGAAGGGCTGATTCTATCTATTCTGTTACCCTTTCTACATAGCAAATGAAAAGTATACGATGAGTACTAATATAAAGTGTATGTTTTTTTCCTTCATACTCAAATAGATTTTGTCGATGACTGGAGTATAGTTAGAAAGAAACATCATACTGTACACACACCTACACACTTCCTATGAAATACAAATAACTTACAGAACATTTTAAATATAATTGTTCTATATTCAGATATGTCAATTCTTTCGCGAGTTGCATCCAATTCGTCCTTATCATTCAAATTCAATGGTAGATTTAAAAATGTTGTTTGTTTTAAACGTTCTCTACAATCAACATCAACAGATTCTACATTGGACACAATGGAACTCGATAGTGAAAATCAACAAGAAGATCAAGGGTAATCATTTTTTTTCTTCTTAGTAAAAATTTTCTATTTATTTTTGTTTTATTTTTTAGAACTGGTTTTTATACTATGGTAGAAAGATTCTATGATCGAGCTGCAAAAATTCTTGAAGATAAATTAGTTCATGATATGAAACAATCAAAATTAAGTGAACAACAAAAACGTATTAAAGTACGTGGAATATTAACAATGATGAAACCACCAAATTATGTATTAGCTATTACATTTCCTGTACGACGTGATAATGGTGAATGGGAATTAATCGAAGCATGGCGTGCTCAACATTCATTACATCGTACACCATGTAAAGGTGGTATACGTTATTCATTAGATGTTAATTTAGATGAAGTTAAAGCATTAGCAGCTTTAATGACATTTAAATGTGCTTGTGTTAATGTACCATTTGGTGGAGCAAAAGCTGGTGTAAAGATTAATCCAAAAGGTAGTACACAAAAAAAAAAAGGAAATTTATCTGATAAGAAAAATAAACACAAATTTTGTACTTATAGATTGGTCTGAAGGAGAGTTAGAACGTATAACTCGAAGATTAACAATTGAATTAGCTAAAAAAGGTTTTATTGGACCTGGTATTGATGTTCCAGCACCCGATATGGGTACTGGTGAACGTGAAATGGCATGGATTGCTGATACATATGCATCAACACTTGGTTGGGAAGATATCAATGCAATGGCATGTATTACTGGTAAACCAATTTTACAAGGTGGTATTCATGGACGAACATCAGCTACGGGTCGTGGTTTATATCATGGTGTTAATAATTTTATAAATGAAAAATATTATATGGATAAAATTGGTTTAACAACTGGTTTATCAGGAAAAACATTTATTGTTCAAGTATATTAAACTATATGAAGATTTATTTTGAGATTTTAGTTTGTTTTTCTTTCTACAATAGGGTTTTGGTAATGTTGGTCTTCATTCAATGCGTTATTTAACAAGACATGGTGCAAAATGTATTGGTGTACTTGAATGGGATGGAGCTATTGTTAATCCTAATGGAATTGATCCAAAAGAACTTGAAGATTATAAATTTGAAAATGGTACTATTATTGGATTTCCAGGAGCAAAACCATATGAAAATGCCGATAAACAAGAATTACTTTGTGAACCATGTGATATTCTTGTACCAGCTGCTAGTGAACAGCAGATTACATCAAGAAATGCTCGTCGTATTAAAGCTAAAGTGAAATTTTAGTTTTTATTAGAATTTTTCTTTTTTTTAATTGTGAATGAACTATTGTAATAGATCGTTGCAGAAGGCGCTAATGGACCAACAACACCAACAGCAGATAAAATTCTTCTTTCGAAAAATGTTCTAGTTATTCCAGATTTGTATATTGTAAGTATTTATTTTTATAAAAATCAAATTGATTTAATAAAAACATTTTTTTTTTTTTTATAAAGAATGCTGGTGGTGTAACAGTATCTTATTTTGAATGGCTTAAAAATCTGAATCATTCATCTTATGGTCGATTAACATTTAAATATCATCGAGATACAAATTATTCACTTTTGGGTAAAATTAATTATTTATGTTTGTATTAAATTGAATCAATTGTGTAAAATATGACATAAAAGAAATATTGAAGTTAGAGGAGTGAAAATTTAATTCTCATTCCATAAACTGTGATATTCACTAGTCATAGACTATTACAAATCATAATAGACGATCATATAAGATTGCAAACTGTATATTATTTTAACATTTTGTTAATATATTTCTGAAAGATTAAGTAAAGAAAAAATCAAGAGATACATTTTAAAACAATCTTCCTATGATTAATAAATAGCAGCTAGATTGTATTTTATATTTTGGTTTCGTATGGATTGTTCTAATAGATTTTGGTTTTGTATAAATTTAGAAAGTGTACAAAGTTCACTGGAAGCAAAATTTGGAAGAATGGGTGGCACAATTCCAATCGTAAGGAAGAAAATTTATTTAGAATATTAAAATAAAATTAATATTTTTTTTTATAGATTCCAAGTGATAACTTCTACAAACGTATGGCTGGTGCATCAGAAGTTGATATTGTTCATTCGGGTCTTGAACAAACTATGGAACGATCAGCACATGCCATTATGGAAACAGCTAAACGTTTAAATTTAGGTTTAGATTTACGTACAGCTGCCTATGTAACATCATTAGAAAAAATTTTCAATGTATATTCAGCTGCCGGCATGACATTTGGTGTTTAAAACACGACGCAATGAGTATTGACATCGATTAAATGTTGTCTTTTTCGCAGATATTTTCAAAATTTAAATCTAAAGCAAAAAAAAATAAACACGATTCTTGAATTTTAGATTACAAAAAAAAAAAGAAACATGTTGAACATAGCTGTTCGTAATAATAAATCTTTATATCGACTTTCGAGTCTTTCATATCATACATCATCTATATTGAATTCTTCATCTCAAGCATCAACACATGAACAAGCATCAGGACATTTCGGTTTTTATCGTCAAGTCGAATTATTTTATGATCGTGCTGCAAAAATTCTTGAAGATAAATTAGTTGATGATATGAAAAGATCGAAACTATCGGAAGATTTAAAACGTAAAAAAGTTCAAGGAATATTAAAAATTATTAAACCATGTAATCATGTACTTGAAATACGTTTTCCTATACGAAGAGATAATGGAGAATTACATATGATTGAAGCATATCGTGCACAACATTCACAACATCGTACACCATGTAAAGGTGGTATACGGTATTCATTAGATGTTAATTTAGATGAAGTTAAAGCATTAGCAGCTTTAATGACATATAAATGTGCTTGTGTTGATGTACCATTTGGTGGTGGAAAAGCTGGTGTCAAAATTAATCCAAAAGGTAAAGAAGAAAATTTCTTTTTTTTTAAGTTAATATTTTTTGTGTTAATATTAGATTGGTCTGAATCAGAATTAGAACGTATTACACGAAGATTAACAGTTGAATTAGCTAA